TTTAGGCCATTTCCGCCATCTTGGATTTCTGAATTTTCAAAATTTGACCCGAAATTCGAGTTTCCCGTCCGAAAATACTCTCCGATGCCAAGTTTCACCAAGATCGGCTGGGCAGAATCCGAGATAGCATTTTAGGCCATGTCCGCCATCTTGGATTTCTAAATTTTCAAAATTTGACCCGAAATTCGAGTTTCCCGTCCAGAAATACCCCCCGTTACTAAATTTCACCAAGTTTCCACCAAGCTTCGCCGCGCGCGCGTCAATCAAGTGATTCAAGTGGAGATAGCGCCTTTTGATTTAATTCGGAATCCGGGTTAGCGCATTAAATCAAATGGACCTACGTGCAAAAATCCCCTATATCTCGCTTAATATGCATTTTTTCCTAATTTTGGCAACGTACGTAATTAGAGGAACTCTTCAGCTTTCAAACAAGCTAAAGTAAACCAAAATCGGTCCATTAGTGCGGAAACGCCAATTGTTTTAGTCAAACTTGCTTTACTGAGAAGTTTGGAAATGGCGTATAGCGCCTTTTCGCATAAATACGTCCATTTTACCTAAAGATTCTGTTAATTCCAAGGGAAAACATTCATAAAATTTCTCATAAATATACGTTTTAACGAAGGAAATTTGGCAACCCTCCAATGTTCATACGACGTTCTTCCTCAGCACGGCAGCATAGGAGGCTGACACATTCTCATATGTCTCGTTTCCATGAAAATAAGATGAATTTTGCTGTTTTAGCTATTTTAGTGATTTCTTCTGGAAGAGATTAGACGAGTTTTGAAGGAAACTCGATTTCGAAAATTTGACACTTACTGCTCTCCTCACTATCACAGCAGAATAAAGCATAAGAGATTTCAGAGCTATAATTGCCGTGGAACCTACCAATTGAGCTGCGAGTTTATGTCTGTGTTTCTGGAGCTCGAGGCTGAGGCTCCTGGCGGCGAGCTTGATCTTAAAGTCGTGCTTGAGCCGGGAGTCCGGTCGGTAGTCGGTCTCCTCGAGCTCGTCCCTGTGATCGGTGAGCGGGACCCCGACGAAGGACTCGCTGAGGGTCCGCTTGAGGAGGGACCCTGCGAACTGGACCACGGCCCTGTCCCGCAGTCGCTGCCGCGTCTCGCCGCTTCCCGTTCCCGAACCGGAATCATCCTCCAGGCCCACCGTCGAGAGGTCCGATTCGTCTAGCCATCGGCTCAGCTGCTCGTACACCTCCTCTAATTCTGCAACGAAAGCGCAGCATGGGTCAGTTCCACTGCGGGCTGATTATTGAAAGTCATAGACAAAGCGATAGACAGAGAAGATATCGGAAATTCGTCGTATTTTAGCAGTCACACCGGAATTACACGCTTTTTAGAAAGGTGTCCCTAGAAATCCCAAGCTGGATCAGAAGTGACCCAACTATCTCTTCGCGGGGAGTTATGATGGCGGTACATACGAGCTTTAGATAAAGGTCAACAAATATATCGAAAAAAAATCAAGAGCTCAACTTCAAAGAAAAAGAAAAAAATCGAAGCCGAAAAAAGAAGAGACTAAACTAGCTTCCCTTTTCCCAAATAAACCTGCAAGTTACAGGCGCTTGTTGAAAGTGAAACACCAATAGGCAAGAAGGATTTCGATAAGTCGACGTCGATCGATCGAAATCCTGGTTTCCTGTTGGTGTTTCACTTTCAACAAGTGCTTGCAACTCGCAGGTATATCTGCCGCTAATTATCTGAGCCACAGCTCATTATTGGCAGCATAGAGAAGAGCATTGAGAGTTCACGCCTTACGCCATCGCGCCTTCAATTTTGAGGACGCAACCAGGGCATCCACCATGCACGAATAGTTGTTTCTCTGCGCCGTCATCAACATGCGTCCTTTCCCCTGCTTTATTTCCATCCCACCGACCAAATTGTCGGGCGCTGCGAAGCACTTGTCCGTCTTGAGATTGCTGCGGAACTCTTGGTCTTATTATCACACGATAACAATACGAACAAACTGATGTCATCGATGATACTTGAAGACCGTTGATTGGCTGATGGTGTGATTTCCGGTCATCGGTGACCTTTCAGTTTTTCCGTAATTTGACCGCGTACGAGGGCCTTACAAATATTCCTTCACAGTGCATTACTGCAGTGGATGCATTCTAGTTCCAAATTGCTTCAACTACGCTAATTAACATTTACAGTGGTCACATTATCAATATTTTGGTGGATAGTCGAATTGACATAGCTTAAATTCCAACGTTGAAGAAGAGGCGAGGCAATGTTGTTGCAAACATTTCCCTCAGCCCCTCCCTGTCACCCATCCTAATTTCATAATTGTGGCGTTGTTCAACAGTTGTATTTAAATAATTAAATAAATAAATATCAATTATTCATTAATAGTCTCGTTTATCTTTACCTGACGTGTATTCTGTGCTGAAACTGTATCTGGAAGAGTTGCCCCTGCTGAAAGCTTGACGTCTCCGCGCTTTGTGCTTCTCGGTTTTTGGTGAAGATTCGGTACCGAAGCTGTCCTCGAGCATAAATCCCCTCGACCCACCACGTCTCATTCTAAAAGATATACATATAATGATTGAATTTTGGATAATTGACACATAAGTATATCTGCCTATTTATTGCCAAATCGAAATATTTGGAAAGTACAATTAAGGGGCTTGGAGGACAAGGTGCATAAGTGCAGTTTTTAAATAATGGAGATACGAATGATTCCAGGTAAAACTAGTCTTAACGCATATTCTGTGAAAAAATTGCTCCCAAATTCCAATATTTGCACGTATTTATGCTAAAAGAAACTATGTGCATAGGGTTTACGTGCGGCTTTAAACGAAAGTTAATTCGATCTTTAGCATATAGATAGCTAAAGTGCAAGACCATGTATCTCAGTGTGCACGTTGTAGACTTCCTGGTCACACTTCAATTTCTCTTGGAAGACTAGTCAACGTAATTTCTTGAAAACTTCCTTGATTTTTCTTCTGTAGAATATTCTGTGTGCTGTGTTCTGTATAGCTACAAAGTTTACTTGCTCCTCTTCAAAAATACTAGCTGCTGGGAACGGAGATTTTGATCTACCGGAATGCTGCCGTGCTAAAGAAGAACGCCGTATGAGCCTTCTGACGTTGCCAAGTTTCCTTCGATAAAAACCGTATTTATTAGGAAAATTGTGAACATTATTTTCCAAACTTTACAGACAATTTTGTAGGCAATTTAATCTAAAATAAATGAAAATTGCTAGGAAAAATATGCATGGATGTTGTCAAAATACATGGTTTATCAAGGGAAATCTGGCAACTCTCGAGTGTTCTCACGGTGTTTTTCCATAACACGGCAGTATGGGATACGTGGTATCGAAATTTAGCCATCGATATCTTTCCCTTAAAAGATATTAGGCGTGTTTCCATGAGGCAATGTGTGAAATTTGCTTAACATCTTTTGTAGATCTTACTCCCCAATATTAACACTCAACATTAATATTATCTTAGAATCTTTACAATCGCAAACATCCTCTTTTTTCAGCTTTCTCAAATAGACATTTTATAATTATCGAATTTCTATTATGTGGCTCTTTTTTCAGCTTGGTAATTACCTGATATTGTTTTCTGTTAAACTGGATCCCGCAACGCTGATTCCGACCGCGTAGCTGGAGTCGGAGCTTCCATTCGATTGTTCCCGCTGAAGCGCCTCCTTCAGCCTTTCAGCGAAAGTGTGCCGTCGTTCAGGCGTCTTCAGTTCACATTCATACTTGAACGGACTCGTCACAGCCTCATTGTCATCCAAGAACACTGCGAAAAAAGGAAATTAAAAATTTGAAGGAGATTTGTACGTTCTTAAATCGGAAGGAACTATATCCTGTCCTGAAATGAGTCCTGAGATCCATTAGAGCACATTCATGGTAGGGCTCACGTCACAATGGAGATAGTTCCTTTTTATTTTAAATGCGTCCATTTATTACTTGAGGCCGTCCTCGGTAAGAGGACCTTACTGCGAAAAACTCTTCACCTGACGAATTTATCATAAAGAAGTAGACTTCATCTTGCAATAAATTAGGAACTATAATTTCTTGCTCGCCTGTAAAAACACTTATGTGCAGAGGTTAACTAAAGTGCATACGTTGTGTATAAAATGAGCCAGAGATAACAGTTGCTAATTGCAGAATGTAGTCCAAATGATGCGCGTATATCGACGGTGAAATTCCCAAACCACGTATCTCGTTCATAATCGTATATATACTAATACAAAACTCGTATTCTATACTACAGATTTCGGCGAGTTGAACCAAAATTAGGCTCTCCTGCGGTGCCGCGCAGGCTGATTATTGAATTTGATAGACAAAACTACAGAAATGGAAGAATAAGGGGAAATGAAGCGATCCTATTGGTGGAAGCAGGTGGCTGCAAAGGACAAAAAGGTAAGTTGTAGACTAACTAACGGAAACCGACAAGAGATTATACAATTAGTACATAATTTTCTCCCTTAGTCCATAAGAAGTAAGAACGCCCCATTTCAACCAATGGGATCGCTCCATACTCCCTATGTCTTCTTTATCTGTCGCTTCGTCTATTAATTTCAAGAATCAACTCGAAAGCTTTGATGTTCCTTCCTCCGTGAGGGATGGATGGTTAGAAGATCAAAAATCTCTGACCCCCGCAGGAATTCCTCAGTTGGTGAAAGCAATATTAACGGAGCTTACCATCATCATATTTGTCATCGTCATCGTCCTGGTCGAAGCTCGAATTTGCAGAGTAGAATGTATCTTCATCCTTCGAGTCGTTGCGGTTAACGCTGGAATGGATTGGCATGCACTGGTGTCGAGAGATGGGTAGACATTCCCCGGAGGAGCCGAGCATTATCCACTTCCCGGTGGAGGGCGGCGCCAGGCGAGCCCCTCCCCAATCACCCCCTTTCACTCCGTTGGATCCGCTGTGCCCCCTCTTGGAGAATGACCTCTATCGGAAAAATAAAATAGAAATAACTAAAAATGGAGAGGAAATATACAAATTTTAACCATTAATCCTAATATTAGAATGAATCTACACATATAACCTAAGTTAAATATATAAAATACAATAAATGTAAGTATAACTAAAGAGAAAATTACTTGAACCAGATAATACCCTATTGTTACCTCTCTAGCTCTGTATCCTTTTCCTGATAATTATATTAAAAACATGCGCTCCACTATTTTACTGTTTTCTGAATAAGGGAATACGAAGCTTTGCAGCAAACAAGATAGAGACAGAGTTATGAACGCGTGGGAAATATTTTCTAATTTTCAGCTTCTGAGTCTGATGTAAGTTCTGGTTAAACAAGGTGTTAAAACAGTGCCGATTCCTTGCGGGGGAGCAAGGCCAAAAAGTTTGAAAATTTCAATTTGAGTAAAAAATTTGAGCCCTATTGAGTATCAGTACAAGAATGACGCGACGGAGTGTTCAGCTCGGGCAGATGCATTTGAATATTAAGCTGAATAACGTCGTGAGTCTTTTTACACCTCATCAGTAGATCACACTCGCCATGGTGATCAGATTAAAATTTGATTGATATTTTTGCCAAGAATTACACTTTTTCTGTGAGTCTCATTCATTTCTGTTTCTGTTTTGATCTAAGAAATTCCTCTTGATCTGCAGGTTGGTCTTCAAGAGCCCCATGTAAGTAGGGTGCAAATTCATCTGTAATGTATGTCATTGTATGTATATGTGAGAAGAAAATAACACTAAGAAGTTGCCCGAACTGTATGAAACAAGGTGGAGCAGAAATGGTACTTGGTCCACACCATTTTGCGGGGAAAATAAAGCCAAAAATTTCTAAAAATTTCAATTAGAGTCAAACAATTTTTTGAGCTCTAATGAGTACCAGTGCAAAACTGAGAGGAGGAAAGAGTTCAGCTCAGGCAGTTTGCATTGGAATATTAAGTTGAGATCACGCCAAGAGATCTATACAGATCAAAAAAATCTCTAAAAAAGACTAAAAGACTCTAATTATAATTTTTGAAACTTCTTGGCTTTGTTTTCCCCGCGGAATGGTGTAGACCCAGCACCATTTCTCCACCATGTATGTACATGTATTTAACTGCGTTTACTGAGAGTTCCCGAGGACATGATGAATGCACTAACCCGAGCTTTAGCACTGTGAGAGTAGAGATCAAGGTCCGGCTCAGGTGGTGGTGTGGAGCTGAAGGACTCGCCGATTGGCGACAGTCGCTTGGTGGTGGCGCCGATCGTGACGGAGTGCTGTCGCGAATTGTGGAGGACCTGCTGCGTCTGCTGCTGCTTCTGCCGAAAGCCCAGCAAAGCTTTGTTCAGCTCCCGCAGGACATTGTCCTCCTCGTACTGCGACAGAGGCAGCCGCGTGTAGTTTTCCGCGTCCATCAGACATAAATACATCTGCCGCAGTTATTAAAAATTGAAATATTAGTACCAAAATGAAGCTTTGGAGAATGATAGAGTATCTATATAGGGAGAGTATGGACATCTCCGCTAAAATCGATGGATTCCAAGGAGTAACAATACAACGAATGCAACCTATACTTAGTGTACAACTGCGTGCAGCAACTATTCGAACACCTGAGTGTGGCACAGTATCACTCGAAATTGAAGGCGAACCTAACGCACCAACTCACTGGGTCGGTTCCTGCAACGGATGAAACTTTCGGATTTTGAACTGTATCACTTCGAAAACATTTCGGGAAAGTTTTATGTGTAACTGCCCTGCTCTGGTTCTAATTTCGCATGTATCAGTCATAACATACAAAACAATTTCTAATGTACATTGTTTTTCGTCGATGTTCGAGGCGATAATTCGTATGTGCGGTCACTCGCCTGCTGCTCTGTTTACAGAATTCGGCTTCATCTTATAAAATGTATAATTTTTCATTTGGTTTTTGGTTCCTGAACATAAATTTAACTTATTTCACCAGCAATTTTTGTGATAAACTTTGCGGTGGTCTTCAAAATTTGATGAATGCATCAAGTGCGCGAATAAAGAATAAACATCAATATTGAAGGCGTTCAAAGCGTATCAAAGTTTGGTGACTTACCGGCTGTGGTTCCTCTAATAATTCTAAGTTGGTTTTCTGTCGGACGTCCGAAATTTTTGCCACTTTGAGAACGTTTTCTACGATGCAAACTTCATTATCTTCGAGGGCTTCGAAGAACAGGAGCAATGCTATTAATTCGGGACACTCACAAAATTGAATGCATTCCTACGGAATAAAGAAAACAGAGAGAAATTTATTTTACATACTGGTTGTTACAGTGTTCTTTCATGAAGGAGGAGAGTATATGTGCTGGGAATCAACCAGAAATATAGTCCTACCTGATTTTTTTTTTACAGCACCAACGAATTCAGCATGGCGTTTAATAGTGCGACATTTGTAAAATTTTGCAATCCTTGTATTGTCAGTTTTGATCATGATTAAACTGGTTGACCCGGCACAGGGAGATTGACTCCCTGTGAGCATGTCATGTGCTTGATTATATCCATGTCGATGTATTTAAGAGCTTGATTGTGATTCAGAGTCACATATTCTGTGAAAAACGACATGTATTTTTTTTATCAAGATGAAAACATAATGTTGACTGTTTTCCTACGACCGCGTCAGGCGCTACGTCAGAGGCTTCAACGTTTTTAATTAGCCTTCTATGATTAACAGGGATTAAGATTGAGATTAAGATTTCAGGAGGGGAAAGCATTGGATCGATAAATTTGATTTTTTTCCTTCGAGACACAGATCATTTTACAATAGTCAGGAAAGGTGAATATATAAGTGCTTCTAGAGCTTCCCTCGTGGAAAAAAATTCTTCATTTTTAAGGAACTATCTCCCAAAATCGAGCAAAGAAGTCCAGCGCGAGGCGTCATACATGTACGATCGTACATTTCTAATCATAGTTTGACCTATTTCTGCAGTTTGATGTGATGAATGATGAGACGAGATATGGAACGTTTCCGTATCTAATTCCGGTCGTCCAAAGACACGCTTTCGAGCTCTCCACATCCAGAAACATGTGCTTTTGTAGTCAAAAACAATTTACAATTCTGGATGGGTTCAGTTCTGGATTTTTACAATTTTATGTCACAATTTGCTTCGCAAGTTGATTACTTCTCGAAGAATGCGGTTCTTGCAGAATGGATTTTTCTACTCTTTCATCACACTATTTTCAGTGAGTTACCTATTTACAATTCACGTGATATTTTCAAATTTATTATATTTATTTATTTTGTTAAACCCAGAAGTGTCCTTCCGAGGATACGAGTTTTCATAATCGGGTGTAACTTTAGATAAGTTGACACAAGTCCAACTATTCAGAAACCAATGAAAGGCCCCTGAAATACACTTTTTGCTGATTAATCACTCAATTTTCCATAACTTAAAACTTTTTTGTGAAAAAATTTTAAAGTCGAAAAATTAAATAACCCGTAAAGGGGGTTGATTGAATCATACAAAAATTTTACCGGAGGTCGGTCATATACCATGAGTAATGCGGACGCAACAATTCAGGGCGGAGACCAATTGGACTACATTTTGCAATTCGGAACCACACATTTCTGGTTCATCGGTAAAACTATTATGTGCGTAGGAAAACTAATAGTATATACGTTGTTTCTAGACTGAGACAAGAATTTTAATTCCATGTAGCAAAATGTGGTCCAATTGACACAGTCAAAATTTATGAGAGAGTAGTTTAGCTTGCATCTCTCGGTGTAATTGTGGACTTGTTCCAGGTAAATCTGCGTGATGCAGACACTCAAAGTGCAGATTGTAGTCCGAAAACGATGACGAATCTCCGAATATCCACAGCAGATGCTTACGTGGAGGCGTTGGCGACGTTCGATCGAACAGAGAAGAGTGTGCGGACGCTAGTGAACGCCGTGAAGAGTATGTTCGACTCATACGACCTGCGAAGGCTCGACGAATACCTGTGTCTTATGTTAACGTTCCCGGCGCAACGACAGGACCTCTTCATCGATACGCAACTGAATATGCGCTTCGACTACAATAAAAGTGGTCATATCGACATCTTCATCCACCGTAATGATGGCACCGTTTTTGCGATCAATTTTTACAACCAGCAGGTACTTGAAATTCATCTAACTTAATCAGAAATAGTGTGTAGAGGGCTGTTCATAAATTACTTAACACTCAAGGGGGGGGGGGGAGAGGGAAGGTCAAATAAAAGAGCATTACATCATTCTTTTTTTAAATGTCAAAGGATATAGGGATCTACGTCACACAAGCGTTACGTATAGGGTAGGGAGATATGGGGCGGGGAGACAGGTGAGGGCCAAAAATGCTGGAAAAAATGCTTAACGTAATTCACAAACGCTCCCTGGTGACCCCTATACATTTTTTTTGTTTGTTTGTTGAGAAAATTCGATTTTACCGAGCAAGTCATAGGTAGATCAAACTTTTTCGAATCGAACTGTTCGATCTGGTCGAGGAAACTGATGGAGAAATCCATCTATTAATTTGAGAAAGAATTAAAACCCTGCTACAAACAACCATGATGGTGAGAGAAAGAAGGTGCCAACATGTTATGATTTCCATTGAGGAATGTTCAGATTAGTATGTTATCACATTAAGACAACTGTACTGGGGGATGTAATATCATGGTCTCGTGGTGTTCTTGTTGACAATATTTATGTACTATGTTGCCACCACTTTGAGAATATACGTTGGGTAACTAGATTCCCCAGCGGGTCCTAATTTCTGTTACTACTTGTTAAAGCATGGGCTTACTGCGGAAAAATTATTCTACTTTTTTTAAGTAGTCCATACTTACAGGAAGAAATATTTTTCCAAAGTTTTTATTTGGACCCAGGGGAACCTATACCTAGGTATCTTCATTTTTTTGAAAACCAATGATGATGATTATAAAGGACACCCCGCTTGTTAAATGCCGTACTGAAATGAAATGTGCGGTCTTGCGATTATCAAACGTTAGAGGTATTTGCTTTCAGCGATTACAAAAAGGCAATCAGACAAAAAAATGGCGTAAGAGCAAAATATTTTTAGGGGAAAATGAAAGGGTAATTTTCGTACCGTTTTTACGTAGGATTTCGGATAGCCCTAGGTTGAATTATTCGCATGAAAAACAAGATATTCGTATAATTTATTGTCGTGTGCCACTACACATTTTTTTACTGACAAGAGTGTACCTCATGAAAAATGATGTTTGTTCACGTAGGTGGGTGTATACTTAGCCATGCGTCGAGCAATCATGGCACTGAACTTGATTAAACATCAGAGGGGTCAAAAAGGCGGCCGTGATAGGGTCAAATCAGATTTTAAGCATGAAGTTGCAGCCGCCATGAGGTATGCCAAGACGGATATATGCTTCAAGCTCAAAGCGGGAGTTAATATTACGCTAAGCGGATCTTTCATATATGATGATTTTCACTTCGAGGATCTTTTTGGCAATGCTGTCAACATAACCGTTTGAAATCGGTCGTTGAAAATTCACATTGATCATTGTGCGAGATTTTGAATGAAAACATCACAATATTTCGAGATGATATGATATTCGCATGTTTAAAAGACGTTTTCTCTAAAGGCGATTTTATCGTCCTAAACCAAAGACATACAGGAAGTAACTTTTACCAATTATCTTTTTCATTTTGGAAAAAGAGATGGGGACTATTTTGCTAACAACATTTTTGTAAATAAATGTAATCTCCACCCAGTCTTGTGTTTAGCACTCACCCAGAACCTAGATAAATAAGTGAGTAAATAAGGCTTATGTAAGTCAATCATGGACCTCCATGTTTTTTATCTTTTTATATATCATCTGCTTCCTGGTAGAGGAGACTGGTGATACATGCCGCCGGACAAAGGTATGTATGTAAGCATTCTGATATGTATCTTCTCATCAAAATTCCACATAAAACACGATGTGTACAACAAAAATTACTGGAAGTAACTCCTAACCAAGATATTAACGGTTTCCGATGCATAAATTCAAATTCCTGCTCATGGACAAAACAAAAATCCACATGAGTTAAATCACACACAACACGATACTGTTACGATCGTTTGCAGTGTAAAAGTATGATGAACTCAATGTCGGCGCTTCGGCTCAGCTGCTGCACATTATTTACACATTTCGAATGACTTGTGGTAGGAGGAGAACCACTCCTTATTAAGAAGCCTGCCGAAACCGGCGTGGTGTGCAATTTGATTCAAGTATAGTCTCTTGTTAACTTGTGAGCTGGAAATTCAAATTTGTCGGAATCAATGCTAAATAAAAAGGTCAATTTCTTGATTAGAAATTAATGTCAGTAACTTTCGTCGCTCAAATCGCGTCGTACGTTAAATTTTAAAGAGGAAGTATACATCAGAATGCTGGTATCTATACCTTGTCTTTCAATCCATCGCTGCTTGGGAGTTACCTAATCGACGAAACCTCGCCACGATGCTTTTTCTAAATTGAATTGGACGTATTTCTACCAAACAGACCTATGTGGAAGTGAGAAATATGGGGTGTGCTCGTTAGTTCTCTGGCGGTAAGAGTGAATGAGAATAATAAAGCGCCGGTGACGTCAGCGGCAACGAGGCCCCTCTCCGCGGTCGCCCCCGTCCGCCCGCCTCCGCATAAACTCATGAGCCCTGTCCACAAGGCTCTCTTGCCATGCCCGCGGCTCATGAGTTCCGCATTCAGCTCGCACATAGGTCTCTTTGATAGAATGCAATATCCCGCTTTTCCAATTCTTCAAAAGGAACCACGTCCTCTTTTACATTGCTTCTTAGGCAGCTTCGACGAGCATACCCCATATTTCTCGCCTCCACATAGGTCTGTTTGATAGAAATACGTCCAATTAACGTGGGGGTTCAGCTTACCCTTGAGCTTCCGGCATTGAGGACGTGACCGCCAAGACGTGAACTGGACGAGCAGACAAGAAGCGAATCCGAGGAATCGAACCTTTCCAAACGGCCATCGTGCTTGATGCTCAACGGACAGAGCGGAAGATTGCACTCCAACCAGTCCTCAATAGTCAGCCACTCTCGCCCTGTCATCACCTGCAATCCAAAATCACCAGTTAAAAGCTATCCGTGATTTTAACGTGAAAACAAAGATAACTTACAACAAAAATAACCAATAAAGATAACTTGATGATAGAATGAAAACTAAAAATAAATGTTGGCAAACAAGAAAAACATGCCGAATGACGTCATTCATCACATTGATGTATACCATGACTTCCTTCAAAATTAGTCTCAATGGCTATGCATATGCAACCCGTGTAAGTTTTATCCAAATAATGAATGAGATGAAAGTTCAAGAAACTAGAGTATGCGCTAAGACGGCGCGGCGGTGTGTTTTTCAATAGGTGATATTCCCATTAGTACTGATGTAAAAAAAAAAAAAAAAAAAAAAAAAAACAGTGTTAGCGGGACGTGTTATTTCGATCTCAAAAATTCAGCTTTTACACACGATTACATAACTAGCACAATGTATTTGCCTCGAAGGAGTAAATCCGACTTGTATGGGCAAACCTGCGAGAGAAAACATATTGTTAAAACATTCATTGAGACCAATGCGCCTTCATTTACGTGTGATACTTTTTCTCTTACTCCGGTTGGTGCCCGGTTCCTCCTTCAGTGTGGATAAACACCGGTTATTAATAGTGTTTAAATGCGTCTATTTTTCAAACTTTAGTGCTGGGAATAACTTAATATTTAAGATATTTTGTTTTAATATGATGCTACTATGTAGAGATCCAGAGGAATTCATATTGTTCCCGCTATTTCGTAGAGCAGGGAATAAATGCTTTTTACGCACGCTCAGTATTAGTGAAAAATATTTTTTTTAGTCTGACCGATATAAAATCATACCTGCCTTGATATCGAGATAGGTTCCTGAGGATGACCGAATTTTGAAAGACAGTCAAAATAATGAAGGAGACACCTGAACTTCACTTGCTGGAAGCTCCTATTCAGAAGGAGAAAAAATTAGTCTCATGAAATAGTTGTAATAAAGTTTCTAATAATAGAATGCAATTCTAAGGTTTAAGAAGTATTAAGGGACTTTTCAAGTATTTCGTAAGGCATTTAGGCCAACTTTGCAACTTTAAGGCACCCGTAAGACAACCATTCATCCCACCTTTTTGAACTACGTAAAACTGGACTGATATCATCCAATTTTCTCATAAATAAAGGAGAATGCCTCAAAAGTAACTGAAAAAAATTCAAAGCAGTTAATATTATCTTCTTTTTTTTTTAATGATAGGTTTAAGTAAGAGTGGGCTTGGCCCCCCTCCCACCGTAAAACTCCATAAGGCAAACTCGGAGCCCTCTCTCCGTAACAGTGTTACGGCGTAACACCCCGAGAGAAAAGCTCAGACCTCCATTTCATGTTTATGAGACGAAATAATCTGCGAAATAAATGATACTTACTGATCGAGTTGTAGGAAAAAGTTGGAAAAATTGAAGTCTTGGAGGGTTGGATGAGTTTTACTTGTCCGCTTTGGAAATGATGAAAAGAAGGAATGAGCTACGAGTGATGAAACGAATTCATGAGAAATCTTTCGGTTATCAACTGAAATCAAAAATTTCGTTTGAAAGAGAGCCCGAATAAATGAAGCTTTCACACCTAACCCCGTGATGAACCATTATACTAACGTTGTGAGGAAATGAATACAAGGGTGATTTTTTATGCGTTATTATGATGCGTCTGGGCACGGAAAGAAAAGTTTATTTTTTCCAGTATAATATACGTCCACGCGTTTTTTCGGCACGGTGGTTTTGGTCCACTTGCCAGTTGAGACCCAAAGTTAATTGGCCCACATGTAAATACGAACGACAATTGCTCACGCCGTTTTTGGATGATAATATATAATGCCTATTTAAAGGATGCCTGTCATTCTTAATACGTTCAATTTAGTATAATACTGTAAAATAGTCCCCTGTTGTGAAATAGTTGCTTCAGGCGCCGCGCCGCCGCACGGCGGGCGGGCGGCCAGCGCGAAACGCGCATTGGCGCCTACAAACCTAAGTGGATACTTCAAGCATTGTGCAATGCGCGAAGTATCCACTTAGGTTTGTAGGCGCCATTGAGCCTCTCGCGCTGGCAGCACGCCGCGCTCCGCTCTGTTCGGCTGTTCGGCTGTTCGGTATACTCGCATAGTCAGCGTTTTTTAACTCATGATTTTGGAATGTTAGCACACTCTGCATTGATTATTCTCATTTAAAGTGATGGAAAAAAAAATATGTATCAATTTATCAAAGCAGAATAATAATATAATGAGTGTTATTTAAATATCGGTGCTCCCGTGTCAAATTTAATGATTTCTAAAGCACTTTAATTTTTTCTTTTACATTTTGTGCTTTTATTTGTGCTGCAGCTAGATGCACGCGCAACGAAACGCTCAAAATTTGACGTATTTGACACTGAAAGATCGATGTACAAATGGGTTAAAACTAAAGATTGCGTGCTTCTTGGTTTTAGAATGCAAGAAATACTTCTACATCGTCTGCGCGGGTATACGTCATCGTATGACTATCTTATGATTTATACTCACCTTGTTGTTGAAGACTGAAAGAGAGTCCCATGGAAGACTTGTGCTGCTTGAGGGCCAAAGCACATTGTGATATGTAAGGCAGAGTGCAACTGAAGAATCGATCTCGCTCATCTGCGGTCATGTCACTCTCTAAAAATTTAACCAACGGTTGAAACACGTCCTCGTCCGTTTTTGAATGGTCCGATTCATCAGGGTCCAACCCCACACTGTCAACAATTTGCATAAATTTAGCGAGTTCCATGTAGGTAGCGGTGTAGCTCTGTACAAAATGTCTTACCCTCAATCGAGACTCTTGAGGTGTTTCGACTTTTGATCGAACGCAAATTGTATTTGTATCTGTACTTCAAAAATTATCGCGGCGAAAGACCATACTCTTCATTTATATAATCGTAAATGTATCCAGGCTAGTTCTGACGTAAACTTTTGATATTTGACGAGTACGATTATACAAAAATACCATTACTGTTATCAAAGAATGTATTCAAGAAAAATTTCTAAAACTAGGTACGCTTATCATATAATTCGATTCAACTCGATTATATCTAAATAATTATAGGTGATGGGGAGATCCATGATAGAGAACACACAAAAAATCCAATTCACCGTTGATTTCGGAAAATTTCAAAGGACTTTCTTTTATGTTAGCACAAAGATTCCTTGGACGAAAAGAATAGATTTGAGCGAAGATAAGGAATCCATACCTAAATTGTTGACCTGTAGTTGATTGAATAGAATGGTTTTGATGACGATAATATTGATATGGCAAGCAGAGATGCATCAGGGGATAAAGTGACCAAATTTTATACACACATTTTATGGCACGTTGAGCTGTAACCATACGTCACAAAATGACCCAGATCCTCTGTGTTACTCATGTCACAGTCTGGTTTTAGAGCATCATGAGATGACAGGAAAGTGATACTTACTTACACATACTATAGATTTGGAACATGTTGTCGGCGAGATCTTTGGGAGTTGTTACCGTGGCGATCTCAGTGAGCAAGAACTGGAGTTTGCCCCACCACGGCATATCGCATGGCAGCATGACGAGTGCCATCTTCACTCAGTCTTGCCTCTGAAATTGACCCAAAAGAAAATTGCATTAATAAGAATCGCACAAGATGGAGTTGCTAATTACTTAGCTTTTAAGCATTTTTGCAGTATGATTTATTGGCACAGTGGTTGCTTCCGCTTCAATTTGGATTTTATACATATCGACGGTGTAAGTCGGCAATCACACAACTCGTTTGCGGTGTCTGAAAATCTCCGCCTCTATATTATTTTTTTAAAAGAGACCAGATTGACATCATTCTTTGAAATTCATGCAGAATTTTCTTCGCACAGAGAAGAAAAATCACGGCAATTTTAAAGAATGGCCGTTGAGTAGTTTTCCGTTCAAAAGATAAAGTATGACAGGATGTCTGCGACGTCGCAAACCGAGTTATGTGATTGCCGACTTACACCGTCGATATTATAGTATTGGGTTAAATAAATAAAAATATGGAGGGAAATAAAAACTTATTGATCTATTTCCCCGCGATGCACATTTTTTAGATGCGAAAAATTGCAAACATAGATACCTACTATTTTGAGACTCTTCGAGATATGACTTAGGGTCTCTCTCTAGTGGCTCCATTTTACATTTTTTTATGACTTAGGAGCCGATCTAACGAGATCTGCGGGTCGTGATGTGACATCACTACACTCACACATCTCTGATGTCCATGAATTTGAGCACCGCACACACGCATCAACAGCAGCAAATGCGAGTGACTGCATTAGGCTGAAGCAACAGCGTTTAGTAATGGCCTTTGATTTTAATTTGTAACGAAATTAAAGGATTTTTATGAAGTAAGCAATAGGTCTTTTTCACCAATAGGTCGGTCTCCAAGAAAGTTCCAAATATCAATATCCTCAACTAAAATTTTCTGCAATGAGCATCGAACTGTCATACCAACGCCACCATCATTTAGACCTGTGGAACAATATAAGCACAACGTGCTTATGTTTGGAAAGACATTTGACATCGGCTGATACCTCGATTGCGTGTTAAATCGAAGAAAACTACTGGCTCAGGACTCGAAAACTTGAATAAAATAGTGATTTAAGGATTTTTTCTTTCTGTGTTTCGGTTTCCACTTTTAGGCGATACAAAATTATTTTCGGTAAAATTAGTTGTATCACCGATGACAATGAGCGATAAGTCTTGCATCAGACTGTGATTTGGAAGATTGTCTCTCATGGAGTACACACTACACCGATAGCAGTGTGACGATCATTTCATCTGTCAGTCTGATGTAAAAAGACACTAAGCTGACATCATACCGGCATTTGCCTGCACGGACTATATGATTTATTTCTTGCAGAAATCTGAGTCTGAAGAGGTCAGTCTTTGTAGCCTTTAAATCATTACACACATCCACACAATAATCGCAACACACGGAGAGAGTTTCTGTGTTCAAGAACTATTTAAGCTATTCGAGCTGATGGTGATATTTACTACATGACGCGTAACTGGCTCGAAGACTTTGAAAAATCATCATTTTGAGAGGTATTTTGTTTGAACCATTATCATCAGCTATAATTTTGACCAACTCTTGTCTTTTGCCAAACCAACACGAAGTCTTTAGCCTTGGTGTAAATTTTTCAGACTTTTTTTTTTATTTTGAATCATTTGCCTACTGTACATAGAAATTAGAATACTTATAATATGATTAATCCTAGAAGTAAGACTAAGACTTAGCTAAGACCCAAACCTAAGACTATGTATTATGATACAATGTCAGGTTTCATACTTAATTCATTTTTATTTGCAAACTGATGATCGCTGCTTCACCAGCTGAAACTTGTTGAAAAAAAGGGGGAAAATCAGCCTCGTTTTCATGTTGTTCTGTCTATTTTTTTTAACAATTATCGTTAGGTGCGACTTACCTCAGTATGACAGATCTACGACGTCTGGTCGGAGGGGGGCCGAGGGTGGATCACATCGCGGGGAACTGAGTGCTCCGTTCTTCGGGGGCGCGCGATGAATTCCGCGGAACACCTTTTCTGAAATTGGGGTAAACACGTTTCGGGGATCCGGACCCGTTGCATTTCATAACTGACTCAGACTCGGGCCGACTTGCGACGGTGGCGCTGTTAAAAATAGGGCTAAAGCGGGATACGGCGGTTCCGCGGCGGCGGTTCGCGATGTGACTAAAGCCGCGATAAAAATAGCCCGAAAATATTATCTTACAAGTGTAACACTGTAGTCGGCCCAGCTGCACGGCCCGACTTCCGTCTTCCTCCTCCGGGCCGGTGGGGCTCATTGGAGATTGAAGTTTGACCAAAAAACCGTCAAATTTAGGAGCTCATAAAAAGAGCAGTACGGCCGTAACTTAATTTTTTCCGTTTCTGGATTTCACGGACGTGGATGAAACTACACTGTTACAAATTTTGGAGTGAAATTCCGTGCTGAGTCAATATAGTACCGAGAGAACCTGATTGATAAGAATATTCTTATCAATCGGGTTCTTTCGGCACTAAATTTTCAAAATTTCCCGCTATTTTTTTTTTTTGGCTAGGGAAATCCCCCAAGTCCCCCTTGTTGAGCAGGGTTGGTTCTGTAAAAACTTTTTAATGGGTGTTTTTTAGTGTCCCCCAAAGCACCCGTGACAAAGTGTACCTTTGCCCCCCCCCCCCCCCCCCCNGACAAAACGTTCCTAGGTCTGTCCATGATCACGGGAAAACTTCCAAATACAAATTCCATCCTCACGCAATTTGCAATTTTCTTTTGTTTTCATCTTATATGTGTCTGGCGTTTTTACTGGTGAATTTTTTTTACAACCATACATATAAAGCTCCTCTTAACATCATTGAGAATATGAACAACAAAATTTCTTGAATGTGTTAGTTTCGGCCCCTCCACTCTAAATTACAGATATTTGAAATGGTTAGCCTATAACAGCACTGGAAAAAACCGGCTCGTTTATTGGTACACTCTATTGGTGAAGGAAACCTAAGTATATGCACTGGCATGATAGATGACGTCATCAATCGTGAATTTCAAGCACAATAATCTCCGTTATTGCATGCTGCTATAACTCGGCGAGCAGGATCTTTTTTTAGTTTTTCCAATCTTTATGTCATGAATATTGAGAAACGATTCTATAAAACTTACGGTCGCAAGTGTGTGATATATTCCCATCCCGAACCTGTGTCTACACGGTTCAAATTATTTTAAAGTTGTCTGATGAATGAAATAAAAAGTGCAACTGTGCGTCGACTACTGAGGCTCTCTTTAGGTTGCCCTATTCTTTTGTGGAACAAGCATATTGTCCGTCGGAAATTATTCCTTCCGGAGTTCTTACTCCATGTTTCTGCATAATGGGCTTGAGTCGGTGCCACTGGTTGTGTCAGTATTACATACATGAATGAATATATCTCTAGACTCAAAATTCGGTGCTGTCCATTTTCGTATGGCGGTATTTAGAGTAAAATTAAGGGGTCCACCCCCCACGGCCCTGCATTTCCCCCGAGGGGTTCCCTCGTCACTACGCGGTCCGACTCTCAGAGTACGCTGCACACCCTCACAGGGGCACTTCCTGAATCATGTTTCAAAAATTTGAAGAAATCGGGCTCGTCTTCACCTGTCAATAACCATAAAAACATGAAATTTGGTCCTGTAATTCTCTAGAACGAATAATAGGTAAAAATGGGGGGGGGGCTTATACGTATGATAATTTTGGTGTCATTATTCTTGATCTTCACGAGAGTACCCACATAATAACCTGACGATAATGTGTTTTGGTTTTGTGCAGTGTTTTCGCAGCAATTGTTTGTAAATGATACCAAAAAAAATTTAGATGTACAAATTGTGATATCATATAGTGAGTCCTCAACGTTGAATAGCAAACTCATAAGAACACGAGCTCCTCCTTATGGCAAATGCCATGATGTGCACAAATTGAAATTAGGGACATTAACTCCCCGGCAAGGATAAACATTTACAGTTCTCATTAATCAAAGCAGTTAATTAAAAATAAACGGGTTCGTTCCTTGATTACATTGACGTAAACGCACATCTTTATTTATGCTGAGTTTTCTGCCGGACAAATGGATTGCATTTAGCAAAAAGGAGCCAGCGCGCTTACAGTGTTGTAAAAATGTTGCTTCTCCGGAATCATCTGCAAAATTTCCTAGAACAGCAATTTTTTTTGTTTCCCACCAAATAGTTGGCAATTTTAAAGAAAATTATTTTACAAACTTTAACATTATACATATATTGAGCATTTTTAAAAGAAAAGAAGAAGTTGCAGAATTTTGAAAACACTGTAATAGCGCCGGTTCCTTTTTGGTATATGCGATCCAAATTAGAGGAAGCTGATTTAGAGCTGAAGGAAACTCGTGCAAGTTGATAATTAAATTGTGCCTACATTTTATGAAGTATGCTACAAAATATCTTACCTGCAGTCTATTCGAAGGAATATAAGAGGCTCTTGTGTCCTGCTTGAAATCGCATTGGCGAAGTAATGGGAGGTACGTCATAATTCTCCTAGATAATTGAGATATTAATGATTTCAAGTAAAACTGGTCTTCATGCATATTCTGTAAAAAATTAGCTGCCAGATTCCAATTTTTAAGCTTTAAAAAGTCAGTTTGAACTTTTTTCCGTCTAAAGGACCTACGTAATTTCGAAACTTTAAACACGTATTTCTCGAAATAGCGAGAACTGCACTTATGCGCCTAGTCCTCCAAGCCTCTCAATTAAAGTTTTCAGCGTGTTTTCTCTAGAGTACACGAAATTATTTAAGAGCGCTTCAAAGATGACGTTTTTAACCGTCGACTTTCCTGCTACCTAACAACGCACTCACATCTTAGCTTGGAGAACGAAAAGAAAGAGGTCACAAACTCGTGTTGGATCCAGGAAGTAGCAAAACACCCGAAATGTGCGTAAAATCATCTTTCTTCAATTGGTGACCTGCTTCGTGTTCCCGAATGCATCGCAGTAGATCCGACCAGGGTTTCGTTGTTTTTCCGTGCACCTTGCGTGTGATCCTGCACCATGACCACCGTGCTAATATTATATTAAGTGTGGCCAATCGCTCAGGATTCGACCATACTCACACTTGCGTAATTCGGTCTGATCAGTGCTCAGGATGACAGTGATGATACTCAGTCTTTGCTGTGTGCTCGAGTTTTCATATATTTGTAGTTCGTGATATCCTTTCGACGTTCGAATTCACCTCAATTTCTGAGGTGCGCTTTTGGCGTTTTTTCATCACATCAAGGTATGTATTATTGACGTGGGATAAACTTAAATGCTTTATTTTTTTACTAATTTAACAGATACTTACTTAGATTGTGCATTGAGATAAACGTCAAACTCGGTTGGGAGGTCTATTGACGCTTCACACAACTTATTTTGTATTACCACTTCTAACATTTTAATTAAGGTCTCACGAAAAAAATTAAGGTGCGTCGGCATGTAAGGCCGTTGCGACGATAAATGGACTGCACTTTGCAGTCAGGAACTACAATAACTGACTCATTTGTAAAACCGCTTACCTGCATATGGAAAATAATGGCACATACGTTGTTTTTGAAGAGAGCTGGAAATTGTAGTTCCTAATTGCAAAATGAAGTTCAAATTGTCACCTATGCGACCACGGAAAAAAGTACAAGGGGGAGGTTTGATGATGTGGACATTTCCAATTAATTTTCGTAGTTCCCCATCAAATTAGTTTACTCATCTAAATTATTCAGTACTACAACTGTTGATAAGAAAAGGTCTATTATACCATCCAACAGATAAAAACCACTGGCTGATGATTCCTCATTAAAATCCTGCATTCGTCCAAAAATGTGGAGTATAACCACACTATTAGGGGATAACTCCTAACATTTTTTTTCTGGAAACAGCAAATTTTGCGCACCCCTCCCTCTCCTCCAGTAAAAAAGTAAACGGGGATACAAATGGGCCTGTTGCAAACTTTTGCTAGAGCAAAAATAAGAGTTGTTTCTCATAGATAATGCCTCAAAAATCACGATGAGCGCATCGGCAGAGTCTGAAATGCACTCATAACTTCACAATCTGCGTAAGAAATTTGCGTTTTTTTAAGCTTCCCGCTTCAAAAACGATACTACGGCACAGGTGAACATTTTGTTAGAGGAGTCGCTCCATCGTCGGCGATATTCATCATGGCCGACGCTTCCGCGCAGTTCCGCGCGTAATTCGAGGAGAGTTCAAGGTCAATCAATTCGGGCGTGGAAAATATGTACGTTAACTCGCCGATTGTTATCTGGTCTAATCCAGTTCAGGTGTTCTGGTCTCGTCCCATCACACGTGTTTTGGCGGATTGGCGTCGGCCATGATGAGTATTGCCGACGATGGAACGACCATCTTACAAAATGTTCACCTGTGCCGTAGTATCGTTTTTGAAGCGGGAAGCTCAAAAACCCGCAAATTTCTTACGCAGACTGTGAAGTTATGAGTGCATTTCAGACTTTGCCGATGCGCTCATCGTAATTTTTGAGGCATTATCTAGAAGAAACAACTCTTATTTTTGCTCTAGCAAAAGTTTGCAACAGGCCCATTGTGTAACCGGCTATAGAAAGTATTGGAAATCTTACAGCCGGCTGTAGGACTATGGTATTTTGGAACACAGATTCTACTGCCAAGTTTTACCAGGGAGGCTTTACCTCTTGACGACGAGATCGAGGTAGTTCTTGAGGTAGTCAAGATTTGAGCTTTGACATTTCCTCTCTAATATCATCTTTGGAGTTTAACCATCGTACTTTATGGCACAATAGGAGGACGGCATTTTGCAATGAGGGATTACTGTTCCTAGCTCATTTTAAAAACAACATATGTGCTCTTAATTTTTCTCCACAGAGCGATGCATTATCCTTTGTTTGACCCTGTTTTGCAGTTCGGGTCGAATTTTTAGTCTTTTTCTCCTGCTAATTGCGAAATGTATATAGTTGAGTTGCCTTTACCTCTTGACGACGAGATCGAGGTAGTTCTTGAGGTTTTCGAGGTTCTGGACGTTGCCCCACTTCTGGTGGACGGGGAGCCAGAGGGAGTCGCCGTAGCGGTCGACGACGTCCTCGTCGTTGTAGGAGATGATGAGCCGGCGCCCGGAGTTCC